CATATTCAAAACTTATCTGATATATGAAAATAACAAAATTTCTTAAAATATGATGTTAATGTGCCTCCCCATCTAGACTTATGTGGTTTTTTCCATCACCTTGGATTTTCCAAGGCCACCTCTTAGGCTCCAAAATTGATAGGCCTATAGCATCACTGACAACTCCACGAAAGAAGAAGAACACATGTTAATACAGTTTATATCATTGTTCTGCTCTACTGTATCTAAATCTAAATTTGTATTAATAGGTGCTATTCACTTGTGTTTCTTTTGTACAATCTCAAACAGTCATACAGATATAAAATGGTCTAGCTGCCTCCTTCTTTTTTTCACATCTCAATCAGCTTCAGAGTCACTTGGGACATATCCTAGCTTTTATGCTGATTTAGCATACAGTCTCACTTGTTTCTCTCTCTAACAGATTCATATCTTCATAAATCTCAATATGAAGAAGTATATATAGGATTGGCATGGTGCTGTCAAGATTTTAAGTTGTTGTTGGCTGAGATGAGGATTAAATTCACAATACTGAAACATCAGCATGACAAACTGTGGCAGTGTTTATCGTAGCTTGAACATTTTGAAAATGAAAAGACATGAAATTGATACTAATAAGATTAGATGTTGATAGGCGTAGTCTGTTTATCAATAGGGTTATTATCTTCTTGTGAATAATTCTGATTATTCACAGTGTCTGGGCTATCTTAACAGTTCTCAACATGTCTCATAATTTGATCCCTGTAGGAAACTGCTACAATAGTTTGTTGTCGGGAATGATATGGAATATTTCTGCACTGTGACCTTATACTGTTTCCTACTGTGGACAAGGTGTTAGGTATATGACTGTAATTAATTTCTGAATGTGGTCCCTACACCATCAATAAAAACATCAAGACAACATTATAGTTTGCTATTGTTCACTTCACGATCATATCATCACCTATAGGTCTATAGTAGTAAACAGAAAACCCTAACAGATTGGAAAGTTAAGATCTCACATGACTGATTTAGTATTACACCTCCCCCTCCTCCTGTAAAGTATCCTCAAATGTCTAACAATTTCCTTAACATCCACCGAACATCAAAATACAAACCTTGTATTTTATACAAAGTTTTATTGACCATATATTTTGAAAATGAAGAATGAAACACATTGACTGAGTGGACTTTGCAGATGATTGGTCATAACGTCAATATTTTATAACATGTTTAGAAATTAAATCACCCACACTTACATATGTAAAGCCGGTGACATCAAGTGAAACATAAAACATTTATGCTAATCAGCAGAATGGCCAAAATACTGTTATAGTAGACTGTAAAGCCCTCTTACTGACATTTCACAAAGAGGAAAAGCTCTGTGTTTAAATTACAGCTAGACTCTAGTTCAGGTTTATGTTTTCATCCCAATCATTATAGATTGATGCCTTTGATTACAGAATTTAATATTTATATCAGTATGGTGAGAAAATAGTGTTTCCAGATCAGTACGTGTAAAATGGTTCATAAGCCCACATACTGCCACAGGCAGACAGTGTGCACTTACAATTGTAGTTAAAGGATTTAAATTTCAATTCAACTTCAACAAATTCTATCAACTTTTGAAATGTTAATGGGATCGGACAACAGGTTAAGACTTTTGTAAGTCCAACAATACTTGAAGCTTGAAATTATTGCTGTGACCTAGTAACAGATAGCATATTTTTGTACTCCGTTCATTACGAGACATGAAGCAGGTGCTTGAGTTCATGTTATCCAGAGTTGGCAAGTTTCCCTGATCATATCTGGCTACAAATTTTGTTAGCAAAATTAAATGGACTTTTGATAATTCCTAATTTAGGTAGATTTATAAAACTTTATGTTTAAAACCATTTCTAATTTCATTAGATTGTGGATTTCATAAATGGTAGAATGAAACACTTCACTAAAGAAGATGTTGAAGAGGTTTTATTATAAGGGACTAGAATTATGTTGCAAATTCTCTAGTTCAAAACACTAAAGCTGAAGGTTGAAAGCCCCAAATTTTCTATGTGGTGATAAGAGATCACTACAGAGATGGTTCTTCTTACTTGGCTATTCTCAATGGTTCTCACCTGTTGAGAAGTCGATTAACTTACCTATGGCATTCATTGGGGATTAGTTTCTATGTTTTCATTTTTACTGGATTTTTTTCTGCTTCAATGGGAAGAAAACATGAATGGGATCCATGCAAAGACCATTTTCTACAGATAAACATGAATATTGATGCTTATTGGTTTCGCTTCATTGATTTTTCCTTAGAAATTGTTAGTTTTACTGTAAAAAGTAGCTGATAGGGTTTTTATATTACCATCACCTGTAAGGGTAATGAAATGAAAATTTAAACCAGACACAAAATCCCATCGAAATTGTGAATACAAATGTTTTCACACTGTAAGTGACATTGTATGTTGTTTTTTGTTATGAGACAAATGGTTGGAAGACCGCATGTTCACACAGTTTCACCAGAGGGTGGTGATAAGTCCTTCAGTGTTGGCAGTAACTCAAAGCCCTGTGATTTTAGATCTGTGGTTTGACACACCCTGTTGGTGCAGTACGTGGTTGTTTGTGTTTCTCAGGAAACTGAGAAATGGACTTGTCTGTGCTGTTGTGGTTTGTCCTTGAACAAAACACTTTATCTCATGCAATTACTCTGGATGGTTTGCAACAATTTGGCCTCCAGTATGTCTTTCAGTGGGATTAAGCTATCAGCTCCTACACGGAAACACTGCCTCAAAATGACCCTGGCTTTTGAAGGGGCAAAAATTACCCAGCCAAAAATCACACACCCACTGCCTGTTTCCTGTTAGTGACTGTCTCATTACATGTGGTATATTCAGCAAACAATTGTGGTTTCGTGTAAATTAAAAGAAAAAATAATAATTTTTTCTTTAAAATTCTTGTTCTTAGTCAGCATATGTATAAAATATCAGAGTAGTAATCACATTACCATTTAAATTCTAATTGAAGAGAGAGGATGAAGACATAGGTGGGATCAATTTCCCATACAAACAAAAGAAGGATTTTCATTGCTGTAATATAAGCTGAGTTTATTCTTAAAGTTTGATAATTATTTATTTCTTATGAAAAGAAATACCTAGCTTAAGAATAAGAGACTCTTTATTTGAACCAAAATGTGCACAGATATGTGAAACCTTTAACAAGGACTTTAGAACCTAACACTGGGTTGCTTTTATAATTCAACAATTACGCCATCCTTTCCTAAAATATAACATTTAGACTTATACACTTTTGACTGAAAAATATCAAGGGACTGTTAATTGGTCGGTTTTCGACTAAATTCTGGGACAGGTATAACCTCTGAACTTTGTTGACAATTAAAGAGGCCTTTTGTTAGATATAGCAACTGACAAGGAAGTTAATGTTAACAATGGCTCAGAACACAATTAGTAATACACTAATAAACTGATTTATTTAAGACAAAAGATTATTGTATTCCTGTTCCAGATTTTAATTTTCATGGGGAATCCGTCTGATGCCACAGTATATTGTAGTGTTCAAGTTTATACTGTTTTGATTAAATAAAAATTGTCTGAAGTTTCCATATTTGAGAATATTCTTCGTAATCTATTTTTGAAAGTCATTTTCCATGAAATGTAATATCCAGTGAATGAGATACACTTTTGTCTATCCTCATTAATAGACTAATTAAATGCTTTTCATCATTGGTTCAGTCATCCCTGTGTATCCATCCATACTCCAGAACAATTTAAGGAATTATCCAGAAGCTCGATCAACATATCACCAATATAGATCCTTAACTACATAACACACATTTTTGGATTGATCCAATGTGAAGATGGCTGCTAGGGGCCATTTTTGAAATTGACATTAGAACATTGTTATCACTATTCCTCCAGAATTACTGGAGGGATTTTCAAGAAGCTCCTTTCAGTAGGAGTGCTTGTTGTGCAAGCCACATTTTCAGATTGCTCTGAATTTAACATGTCTGCCATTTGCCATGATGGATTTTAATATTGAAAGTTTATGATTACTTTTCCTCGAAAATGTCTTATGAAGCATTTTTTAAGGAATTGAAATACAGTATTGGTCTTAACTATGCTGCTGAGTGAGTGGCCAATGATGCCACACTGCAGAGGGCGCGATGATGCCACATTGCAGAAGGACACCATTGTGGTATCTAAATTCTGAACTCCCCCCTCCTTCCTTAACACCTCACTCTCAACCAGTATGAAATACAAAATGATGGTGGGTTGGCAAAGTTAAAAGAAAAAAACCCTAGTTTGTCTGAGTGAGACAACACAAGTAGCAAGTAGCTACTACAACTTCCTATATGAATAGAAAAGTTCAAAGTCCACTTTTTCAGCTTTATTCTTATATACAAGATAACAATACAAAGAATCATTTTGAATGTGATATTTTACATATTGCTCTACTTGAGCATATTACCTTTAATTTGTTTACAAGAAGTTATAAATAGAATGTAGCAAAGAACAAAACAGAAAAGATATGAAAAGATTATCCTTGGTGGATGTGAATAGACCCTCCTAGTGTGTCAGTATATAGAGTAGATAAAACAAAGAGTAAATAAAACAAAGAGTAGTTCTGGTAAGTAAAACCTGATTTCTTAAAAGTATGTACAATGATGTGGGGGTAATGACCACCAATTCTAGGAACACCAGGCTTCAAGGGTTACAGGTTTACTGCTGCTTCCCTAAGTCTTGCTGCTTGTGCTGTCTCACTCAGACAAACTAGGGTTTTTTTCTTTTAACTTTGCCAGCCCACCATCATTTTGTATTTTATACTGGTTTTGAGTGAGGTGTTAATGAATGAGGGGGGAGTTGAGAATTGACATTATCACTGAATTATCATCAGGCTTAAGTGACTTTATTTTGGAGATTTTGTTTGTTTTTCAGGTTGAATTGTTCTATTCTTTGCTGTATTACTTAATACATATCTAATGCAGCTATTTCTGTATAATGGTTTTGGTCTATTTCCAGGTGTCTGACATATTCTTACCTGTGGATGTACAATGGTCTTCTCCTCCTGTTTCCCTCCACACTTTGCTATGATTGGCAAGTTGGTAGCATCCCATTGGTTGAGAGCATCTTTGACACCCGTAACCTTGCAACCATCTTATTCTTTGTTATGGTTGCTACACTGATCTGGCACTGGTGGAAGAATTTTGATGTGAGTGTTTTGAATGTCATACTCTATAAAACCAGTGTTTGGTACCTTGTAATTGTTGTGACTGCCAATACAAACATTGGCATATGTTATAACTATAATTTAAGTGCTTTATTGAAGAGTAAGCTTTCAATGACATTCCTATTGAACATGGGTTCAAGATGTACTGGCATTAACAAAACCTCCACAGAACCAGTGCTGTTTGTTGAACTTTTCAAATAAAAGAACTGCACTCACTACAGAGCCTTTATTTCCATTTCAGTCTTTGTCTACCGGTGGAGGAGATGTCCTCTTGACCAGCCTTCTGCTACTGGTGCTGCCCTTCTTGCCTGCCTCTAACCTACTGTTCAGGGTCGGATTCGTACTGGCTGAAAGGGTCCTGTATATTCCCAGGTAAATACAACTCTGTGATGGTGGGTCTTGGCCTAATGAGACGCGAGAGTTGGAGAGACGGGCCCTAATAGGGGAAAAAGAGCAAATCCTACAGTAGAAATGATAAGATTTTGTCCTAATTTGATCTGAAGCATTCTTTGGTGATGAATCAAATTTGCCTTATGGGCCTCTTGTTTATTTCCTTATACAGTCAAGATGGCATCAATCATTATATATCATTAGAGGGTGTTTTAAATTGTTTAAGAACATCACATTAAAACATTTGAAATTGTCTCAAAATAAAAGGATGCATTGTTTACGTTTGAAAAGCAAAAAGATTTGAAAATATTTTAAGTGCTTTTTTCGTCGTTATTAGCTGGTATATATTCAATATCAATAATCTGCAACTTTTGGCTTATCGAGCCTGAACTCTAATGATCTTTCACACGCTGTATATTATGGTGTACACTGCAGATGGTTAGTGAATTATTGTCAGCGATTCATTTCTTTATACCTTTCATCTCTTTAATGATCAAGATGTTATGCATTAATGTGAATGATGTACATAGAGACACAAACAATTATTTTTTTCCCTGTAATTCTGTATTCTGAATTTTTATCAAAACTTTTTATTTGTGTTAAGAATAACTTTTGCTAGTTATATTAGTTGATTCATTTGAACTATTAAGACTGCAATAGATTGTTTTTTAAATTACATGTAAACTTTGGCACTTTCATTTGAGTATAAAATGTATATGTACATGTATCCTTTTTAGAAAAGGAACACCGTCCGTTGTTCCGTATAGTTGATCACTGAAATAGACACTTTGAAGACGTGGGTTCTGTATCTTTATATGTAGTTTATGTTTACTTGGTTAAAAGGTTTTTAAGTTGTGTATCTCACTCATTATCAAGGTAACATTCAGTGCAGGTACACAGATTTAAATGATATTATATGTTTACACATAAAAATCGTCCAGTAAAGTTTGTGTAGGTGTAGTTTGTTTTATTTACAGCTGTTGTATCCAACTTGTGACTGAAAGGGCCACACAAAATTTATCGCTGAGATTAACACCTTCATGGACAATTTGATTTTGTTTTATTGTAACTATGAATTTTTTAGAATGGCAACATGTCCCTGAAATTTAACTAGGTGAATGTTAAATTTCATTCACAGGTATATAATATGATGCTTGATACGATTTAATATCAAAAGCTTTACAATAAGGACAAAATATAGGGGGCTTGAACTGATAGCACTCTGAGATCCTATTGGATATACCTGTGGTGGTAGTTATTAATTTAGAACCAAATAATACAATTTTTTTAAATTTCATCCACTCTGAGTTAGTCCTTAAAGAAAATCCATGGTATCTGAACATAGTGTTTGTATACTTCAGGTCAGTGTGTTTAGTAAATATTGAAAAAAATATATCTTGTCATGGAAGTAAAGATAGATTGACCCTATGGAGAAAACTAAGTTGTCAGCTTATGTAATGGAGGAATTTACTCTGTTCTATATTTGTCAGGAACTTAATTTGCTTCATTTTAAACATGGGAGCATTATTGAAGCAGCCAAATATTAAGTCTGCAGAATTATGTTTAGAGAAAAAAATAATTTAATCTTCTGTTTTTTTTTATTCAAGGTCACAAATGTGAAATGTTTTCAAATTACAGATAGCTTTTTGTGAAGAGTTGTTTTAAAGACATTTTGTCAAAGCCATTAAATGAACAGATGAGACATCAATGAAATTGACTTGTGTTAATTACTATGATTACATTACAAAAATATGTTAACACATTATGGCAACAGAAAAAAATCCTCTAAATATTAAAAATTAGCTGCATATCTTTTTTTCTAATTTACAATATACTTTTCTAGGTGAAAACAAAAGAAATATGAATAAGTGTACTAAACATTAAAATGAATATAAGTTATAACTAAATTATTTCCCCTTATAATGATGATTTTTTTTTTTTTTTTTTTAAATTAATCATGGTTGCCATGGTAAACCTGACATTAGAATGACAATCTAAGCTGTTGTTTCAGACTTGAAAATGTGATTACCTGGTATTCATGATGGTATTCTGTAAATGTTGACAAGATTGAAATATTAATCTGGCATATTTTTTACAAAGGTTCTGTTTGAAATTAGGTTTTTAGGTAGTTTTCTTATATGAATTAAGTCACTATCAATGAAGAAGTTACAAAATTATTGATGCATATGGTTATTCAATATCATATTCATTATTAATTTACTTTCTGAACTGCAAGTAGATACATGTACTGGACAAGAAAAAAAAAGCCAATTGGTTTGACCATTTAATGTCACACACAATTGTAAAATTTGATTGTTCTAACATATGCCTTAATATTTCCTGGCGATCTGTTTGTCCAGTTTTTATTCTCATTTTATCACCATTTTATACTGCTTTAAGTCTGTATGGTATCTCCAGCTATACAATGATACAAAGGTATTTAACCATGTGTATAGTTTGGAATAGAGGACAAAAATTCTCTTAACCTCAACAGGTATATCCATTCTTTTCAAAGGTGTGAGATTTTCTTCTCTCACCCTCAGGGTTGAGATAGGGGATTCCCCACTCAGGACAATGGTTAATGACGATATAGTTGGATTCACTGATAACTCCTGTTAACAATACAGCCTCATCAACAATCCTAAACTATGAGACTAAAAAAAGCACATAAATGTACTATTATAAATGATTCCACTATGAACAGCTACCATGGCAAGCTAGTTAGACTTGTAAATAAACCACAAAGACTCAATATGAATTGAAATTGGCCGTTTTTATTAACGACATATATATGTAAATGTACATAAACTCTCATGAATGTACATCATATACCAAATTTTCTTGTTAACAATGTTATGAAAAACATTAAACAAGTTTAAGATGGGGGTCAGAAAACGCCACAGAGATAACTTTCCCTAGGTGCAACCTATGGGTAAGGAATCTAGGTCAGCAGGGTTATATGTCAATAGGCATGCAACCCATATGTAACAGATAGATAAAAGGACATCAGCACCGATGTATCTCTATTTATCTATCAACCAGATTGTATTCATGCCCACCATGTATGTATGTTTAAATTAAAGATTGAATTGATGTGTTCAAGGAAATAAACAACTCAGTCAGGTTTGAGAACAGGTAACAAAACTGATTCAGCCTCAACACGCACGTCTTTTTACAAGGGAAGTTAATAGCCCAGTAGAAAAATAATAACAGGTCTATACTGTAATCAGAGCTGCTTAAGTTAAAGACTTTGATCTCTCCTTTTTGTTTAGAGAGGCATTCATCTCTGAAGGTGTGATATATTCTATAAAGGAGTGGGGGGTAATTTCTGTACTTCCTTGTTTTATATTGTTCACACAATATGAGTTTGCCTTAGCAGTAAATGCACTATTTGAAAACTTAAACACTGCCGATATCGGATTTCTATTTTTATTTGCATTCAAAAAGATATATATCTTTGTCTGACAAATAAACATTTTGTACATTTCTAAACATAGAAAAAGTCAGCCAAATGTTGACACCATTAATGGACATCTGCATACTGTTATTGTAAAGTTGTCTAATCAGCATAGTATATAGCAGGAGTAGTATCAATTATTTAAAGGGAAGATTGGTGTAGATGGAAGGCACTAGGATTGGGACAGTAAATTTAATTGTCTCTGTTTCTGCAGATGCTAAGCATTGATCTTCCTTCAGGTGAAATTGAGGTGTATCCTTTAAGTTTGAGATAAATCATTGCTTAAGGTAAATTGGTATCAAATCATACAAGCTTTAATTGTTTGCAGCTACTATGCTTACACAATCTTTCTAAAAACCCTTCTTTAAGAAATTAAACTAGCTATGCACAAATCCTGTAGATAGCGTTTATTGGTAATACACATGTATATAGAAGGAGATCCGTGACTAGACTTTAACAGGAAATGGTTCCAGAAGACGCCCAGCCTGTGCTACTGTGATCATGAGATATTAGATTGGGTGATTGTAAATTGACAGAGTGCTGACTCAAAATACATCCAGTCTACGAATCAATCAGGAGTCCCTTACTGTGATGCAGTTATACTAAATGTATTGTCTGCAGAAGTAAAGATGGTAAAATATCTGTCACCTTCTTACTTAAGCTTTGTTCATTATATTACTAAGTGGTGTTCTTCCGTACAATTGGCATAACAGTGATTGTTACAATCTGGGGCTAAACTTATTATTGACAAACCTCATCAATTTTGTAAATCTTCTTACTGTCAGAAAAAAAAAGAAAACATTTCTTGTTGAAAAATTTTGAGAAATTGAATTATTTAAATGCATTGGGAATTCCTGTTTCATTATTTTTTTCCAACAAGCTCTGGAATCATGCGCTTGTTTCATATGCTCCCATTCTACATTGTAGCATCAACTGGTGGATATTTCTGCTTGGTAGTAGCTAGGCTTTTGAGTATTCATTAATCCTTGATGGGCATGGTTTGACAAATAGCATGCTTGTGTGAAGGACTTTTAAATTGAATCTGTCCTTTATATAATCTATTCTGGATACCCCAAAACCCAGGGCACTGATAATTGTATCTTGCTGGAATGAAGAGCAACCAGGTTTGTTCAAATGAATCACCTTTATAACCCACTCTAAAGATTGAAGGGGTCAAATGTGTAGGAATCCTCAAACAACTTCCCGTCACTGATCAAAAGGCCAAGTGTCCTGATATTGGGCTCTGTAGCATGCTGGAATGGAGGGCTGCTAAGTTGGTTTAAATCAACTACCTTGACCCAAGTTGAAGGTCATTTGGGTCAAATGTGTTGAAATCTTCAAAAAACTTCTTTTCCCAATGATATTTGATTCATAGCATGCTCAAGGAAGGGCATTAAAACTTTGTAAAAACAAATGACCTTGACCCACAACTTTGGTCAAATGTGGTAATTTCTTCAAATGAGGTATTCTCCATACCCTTTATGCCCAGGATCCTGTTATTTAGTTAGTAGCGTCATGTGATCAA